CACACCAAACTGAGCAGAGCGACCAAAATGTGCAGAGTGTCTTCACACAATATACAGTCAGGTCCATAAATATTGGGACATCAACACAATTCTAACATTTTTGGCTCTATGCACCACCACAATGGATTTGAAATGAAACGAACAAGATGTGCTTTAACTGCAGACTGTCAGCTTTAATTTGAGGGTATTTACATCCAAATCAGGTGAACGGTGTAGGAATTACAACAGTTTGCATATGTGCCTCCCACTTGTTAAGGGACCAAAAGTAATGGGACAATTGGCTTCTCAGCTGTTCCATGGTCAGGTGTGTGTTATTCCCTCATTATCCCAATTACAATGAGCAGATAAAAGGTCCAGAGCTCATTTCAAGTGTGCTATTTGCATTTGGAATCTGTTGCTGTCAACTCTCAAGATGAGATCCAAAGAGCTGTCACTATCAGTGAAGCAAGCCATCATTAGGCTGAAAAAACAAAACAAACCCATCAGAGAGATAGCAAAAACATTAGGCGTGGCCAAAACAACTGTTTGGAACATTCTTAAAAAGAAGGAACGCATCGGTGAGCTCAGCAACACCAAAAGACCAGGAAGACCATGGAAAACAACTGTGGTGGATGACCGAAGAATTCTTTCCCTGGTGAAGAAAACACCCTTCACAACAGTTGGCCAGATCAAGAACACTCTCCAGGAGGTAGGTGTATGTGTGTCAAAGTCAACAATCAAGAGAAGACTTCACCAGAGTGAATACAGAGGGTTCACCACAAGATGTAAACCATTGGTGAGCCTCAAAAACAGGAAGGCCAGATTAGAGTTTGCCAAATGACATCTAAAAAAGCCTTCACAGTTCTGGAACAACATCCTATGGAGAGATAAGACCAAGATCAACTTGTACCAGAGTGATGGGAAGAGAAGAGTATGGAGAAGGAAAGGAACTGCTCATGATCCTAAGCATACCACCTCATCAGTGAAGCATGGTGGTGGTAGTGTCATGGCGTGGGTATGTATGGCTGCCAATGGAACTGGTTCTCTTGTATTTATTGATGATGTGACTGCTGACAAAAGCAGCAGGATGAATTCTGAAGTGTTTCGGGCAATATTATCTGCTCATATTCAGCCAAATGCTTCACAACTCATTGGACGCCGCTTCACAGTGCAGATGGACAATGACCCAAAGCATACTGCAAAAGCAACCAAAGAGTTTTTTAAGGGAAAGAAGTGGAATGTTATGCAATGGCCAAGTCAATCACCTGACCTGAATCCGATTGAGCATGCATTTCACTTGCTGAAGACAAAATTGAAGGGAAAATGCCTCAAGAACAAGCAGGAACTGAAGACAGTTGCAGTAGAGGCTTGGCAGAGCATCACCAGGGATGAAACCCAACATCTGGTGATGTCTATGCGTTCCAGACTTCAGGCTGTCATTGACTGCACAGGATTTGCAACCAAGTATTAAAAAGTGAAAGTTTGATTTATGATTATTATTCTGTCCTGTTACTTTTGGTCCCTTAACAAGTGGGAGGCACATATGAAAACTGTTGTAATTCCTACACCGTTTACCTGATTTGGATGTAAATACCCTCAAATTAAAGCTGACAGTCTGCAGTTAAAGCACATCTTGTTCGTTTCATTTCAAATCCATTGTGGTGTGGTGTATAGAGCCAAAAATGTTAGAATTGTGTCGATGTCCCAATATTTATGGACCTGACTGTATCTTATCAGGAGATAAGAGAGGGCACTGGAAGAAGAGGAAGATCATAGAAGTCAGGATCAAACAGCCTTTTTACACAATGCAGAGGATTAACCCCTTAGGTTCCACTGTGAGTATAACAACATTCTTTACTTCATATACAGACTGATTTTACTGTTGTGGGTTTAGTAACACTATAAGCTTTTAAAGATGGCCAGAGCCATCCCTTTAAAAGTTCATACATGGGCTTCCTGGTAATGTAAACACTGTGATTGGCTATCAAAGTGATCGAGAGCCCACCCCTCCGGCTCCTGATCATAAACAGTGACCAGGAGCTATCAGTGATAGCACAGTCGCCGTGCTAGGGGTGTTGAGTGAGTGTGCTCCCAGCACAAGCAAGAGACACCAGCTACATTCTTATATGTGGCTGCTTGTCCTTAATGCCCACATACACATATATGTGCGCAGCCAGGGTTATGGGGTTAACACAATACAAATAAGTACATGAGAAAATCTACACAAATCCAATTATGTTCCCTATGGAGAAGGCCAGAATACAAAATAATACAGAATATCTCCCAGTAATAGCTATACCATAGCTTGGATGCAGGTTTAAACTAATTTATAACTATCATAAGAAATTCTAATGAGAATCATGAATGGACAAACTATAACTTCCTTTTGTTATGTTATGGCTTGAGTTAATAGCAATGAGACTAAATGTCAGCTTATCATTCAGAGCCAATGAAAAGTCAGTGCATGCTGGGAAGCAGCTCCTTTGCCAGGAAGATGCTCAGAGGCAAAATAAGCACATTAAATATTATATTTAATAATAATTCAGTGAGCCACAGTGCCTGTCCACACTAAGATCACTGTGGCTATATGTCAGGAACCCGACCCAAATATGAGGAACTATCAACAAGCATGGACAACTTTGTTAATATCATTACAGCTCATTAAAACAATACTTCATTCCTTCAGAAAAGTGATGAAATTAAAGCAATTGTCTCATATCTGCATGTCTCTGGTGTTTCATATATTAAAACAGATAAAGAGTGAAATTAGAAAATGATTGCTTAATGTACAAAGATATTTTAAAATGGCCTGGAGAGATTCATTGGTAGACAAAAAAAAATAGCAAAAAAGAGATACAAAGTAAACTATAAGATGAAGGTACATCAGTGTCTAATAGACCCCAGATCTCTCCAAAACGAGGGCATGTCATGGCCCATGATATCACAAGGGATGTTGTTCATCCCTTGTGATAGCAATAAAAGTGATGAAAAAAATAAAGCTGCAGTGTAAAAAATTAATTCAAATAAAATACATAATAAATTGTTGAAAAATTGAAAGTACCCCCATCCCACCATGCCCATGTGCAAAAGCAAATGTATGTATCGGTTCCACGTGCATACATTAACGATGATCACACCACACATGTGAGTTATCACTGCAAACATAAGAGCGAAAGCAATAATTCTTGAAGCCAGACCTCCTGTGCAACTCTAAACTGTAGTTTGCCATCGTTCCACCATTTTACATGAAAGAACCAATAAATCTACATCTACAGGATCCCTATAAAAAAAATCAAATTAGAATTGCATGTATATGTGGGCTCTCCAAAATGTTTCTGGACTTTTTTTTACCCTATTTAGTGAGAAGAAGTGCGGAAACTTTTTAAAGACCCCTTGTACATTTAAATGTATATGTATGTACACACAATGCTCAGAATAAATGAGTACACCCCTTTTGAAAGGTAAGATTTACAATGTACACAGGAACAATTTCCAAAAAATTTTGACAAAACTGGGTTTTATGGAACACTTGCTTAGCTCATTACATGAAAGTAAGGTTAATAATACAACTTAGATTACAAAACATTCAGTTTTTACTCAAATTAGATGATGCAAAAATGAATACACCTCACAACAAAAATTACTACATCTAGTATTTTGTATGACCTCCATGATTTGTAAGGACAGCACCAGGTCTTCTAGGCATGGAATGAACAAGTTGGTGACATATCGCAACATCTATCTTTTTCCATTCTTCAAGAACCTCTTTTAGAGCCTGGATGCTGGATGGAGAGTGATGCTCAACTTGTCTCTTCAGAATTCGATTGGCTGCAAGTCAGGAGACACACTTGGCCACTGAATCACTTTTACCCTCTTCTCCTTCAGAAATGCAAAAAGTGGCCTTAGATGTGTGTTCTGGATCATTGTCACATTGGAAAAGTGCATGACGACCAAGGGCATGGAGTGATGGTATCACCTTCTCTTTCAATATAGAGCAGTACCTCTGTGAATTCATGATACCATCAATGAAATGCACCTCCCTGACACCGGCAGCACTGATGAAGCCCCACAGAAGCACACTGCCACCACCATATTTCACTGTAGGCACCTGGCATTTTTCTTTGTACTCCTGACCTTTGCGACGCCATACAATTTTGAAGCCATCAGTTCCAAAAACATTTTTATCTTGGTCTCATCACTCCAGAGTACAGAGTCCCAGTAGTCTTCTTCTTTTTCAGCATGGGTCCTGGCAAATTCTAGGCAGGCTCTTTTGTGCTTGGACTTTAGGAGAGGCTTCCTTCATGGACAACACCCATGCATGCCATTCCTCTGCAGTGCACGCCGTATTATGTCACGGGAAACAATCAGCTAAGTTTGGCTTTCTACTTCTTTAGGTAGTAACTGCAGGGAACTTGCATGGCAATTTTCTTCAACCCTTCTCACCTGAAGATGCTCCTGTCGAGGTGTTAACTTCCATGGATGGTCTTGATGTCTCTGTGGGATGGTTTCAGTTCCATCTTTGTAAAATTTTTGTATCACTTTTGCTACAGTATTCTGACTGATAAGTAAAGCTTTGCTGATCTTCTTTAGCCTTCACAGCTGCTCGGCCATGGAAACCCATTCCATGAAGCTCTCTACGCACTGTTGTTGTAATAATCTGAAGGCCACACGAAGTTTGGAGGTCTTTAGCTACTGACTGTAGAAAGTTGGCGACCTCTGCGCACTGTGCGCTTCAGCATGCGCTGATTCACGCTCTGTCATTTTACGTTGCCTACCACTTCCTGGCTGGGTTGCTGTTGTTACCACTTTGTTATAATACCACTAACAGTTGACCATGGAATATTTAGTAGCAAGGAAAATTTCACGGATGGACTTATTGCACAGTTGGCAACCTATCACGGTACCATGCTTGAATTCACTGAGCTCCTGAGAGCGACCCTTTCACAAATGTTTGTAAAAGCAGTCTGCATGCCTAGGTGCTTAATTTTATACATCTGTGGACATGGAGGTGATTGGAACACTTGAATCCAATGATTTGGAGGGGTGTCCCAATAGTTTTTGGCAATATAGTGTGTGTGTGTGTATATATATATATACTGTATATTATATTGTTTTAAACTACCCTATAAATAGTAATACTGTATGTTGTTCTTATTAGTTTTTCATTTATGCTGGTATCTCTGAAATATAAATTTTCTTTCAGCATCCTCCCTTAGGCCTGTCATTTTGCTGACTCCAGTAAAATCTTCAGCATCAATAACTAGGCATAAATGTGCAGTTTCACCAATCTTGAATTTATGCCAAAATTAGGAATCTTCATACAACATTTCTTACATATTTGCCTCCAATTTTTGATTTGTGGCACATCCAAGCCAAATAGGCTTTAAAAAACAAATTCCCCTGCCATTGTATGGCGTTGGTTTGTTTATATACACATCCGTGTTAGATATGTCAGATCAACTCTCTGTATGACATGACTTTATCCATTTTTATTCTTCAGTATTTAACATAATGTTCCCAACCCAGGAGGATCCATTTTGTGGTATATTAATAATTGAAATCCACTTCCTGAACATTTAGGAGCCATTTAAAGCCAATCACACTCTTAAAAACTACTTTGATTTTGTTGTTGATTCAAGTGCATTTTTTTTGCAATGTTCCCATTTTTCATCAACATTATGGTGAGGAAAAAACTCACAATTTTCCTCATTCTTAGTGATGGCATGCAGTTATATGTTTAATTCTTACATACATAAAACACCAGCATATGAAGCAATGCTTCACAAGGCCAAGCACATCAATCCTTGCTCCAAAAGGATTTTGAAATTAATGCCATTACAACTATTATACCTGCACACAAATGTATGCACAATCTAGAACCTATTTGGTCAGAAGCCTGTATGCACTTAAGTCATAGAAGTAAACCTCAAGACTCAAAAGAAACCCGCCTGATGTTCTTTAGGGGTCAGGAAGTATTAGAATGCTAACACACAATCACTGCGTGATGAATGATGTATACATATCTTTCTTTTTTGATAGGGTAACATTTCCAAATATAAGCTGTCAAACATGTCCAGTTCACTGGCTCTTCTGCAAACAGATGAGGAATATTCATGACATTTAAATGAGTTATCACATCAATAAACATTTCCACCAAATATAGTTATGACAGAAAAGGTTAAACTGATTAAAATTATGTAGGCATTTCACGAGCAAGTCGAACATAACTCACATGTGAATTTGTCTTTTGTTCATTTAATCTCCTTTTCTCTCATATTTTTTGCTACTTCATGGTGAGTTTGGAAATTATTCACAGTTGGTAAGCTGGAGAATTATTTACAGATGACTAGCATTAAGAATTTGTTCAGAGCTGGTTTTACTCTTAGCATTAACTCATCTGCTGTTGACAGAGATTAGATACACTGAACATATCCTATAAGGGCCCAGTCACAAGTACATATATTTAAACACTGTTAGCTGGGATGGCCATATCCAAGCTTTAGAAACATTTTATGGAATCTGTAGTGAAGGAGTATCCATAACAAAAAAGCAGATGTGAGCTGCGTATCTAGTTCAGTTATGGTTAAAGGTAAATTCTAGGTATGGTATTTTTTTATATATATTACATTGTTCCAGCTTGGACCAATGTAACTATGTATATACCATACCTTGCCAATGGCCCTGGAAAATCACTGAAGTAGACACCATTAGTCGGTACTTACTGCAATGATCTCCACTTGCATCTGGGTCCCATGCAGGATGCTGGCCTGCTGAAATCTGAATGCAAGAGGTTGGGCCCTCAGAATTGTTGCCATTCAGAGAATGGTTTGCATTTTCTGAATGAATGCAAAGAATTCTCTGATTGGATGAAGTGGAGGGCTCCACCACCTAACCTCTCTACCTCAACTTGGACCTATTTAACTATGAATAAAATATACATACTTGGAATTCCTCTGTAAGAGAAGTAACATTTTCAATGGCTACTAATAACAATGAAATGTGTATGCTTTTTGAGAGGAAAAAGGAAAGAAACCTCATGTCACAACCCAATTCATACACATTATGAATACACCTAGAAAGAAAACACTTTTTGCAGTAAGGAATATATTTATGCATAGTGATCTACACAGCAAACCTAAAAAAAGAAGAACTAAATAGTAACAGACACATTTTGACCCCAAACAGGGACTGTCCCTGCAAACAAGCAATGACAGTAGTACTGTGATGAGCTGCAATTTGTGGGTATGTCAGAATGTGGACGTGTTGTGCAACACAGGCAGAATAACAGACATTTTACCTGCATTCTGAAAGGAATGAGCTCATATGACATATTTTTGTACAGTAGATATCTCGCCCAGAATTCTATTGTATGATGTAAAACTTCACTGATGCTCCCTATCTCAGAGTATGAGTGTGTAACTCCCACTAATAAAAAGATCGATTACCAATGAGCCTGTGTAAGTGCACTGGACTCCCCATTTCCCATACAGAAGCTGCGTTTACACAATGACCTCCCCAGCCTATGTACAGATTATGTGTATGTGCAATGAGCCCCCAGTTTTGGATCTGTGTGTGCCACTGAACTTCCTACGCAGCCTTACCATTGTCCTCAGTCAAACTTTACATGCAGCAGTGACAAACTGCTTTCTTCCTCGCGCCTCTCAGAACCATAGCCATGTATTGCCACAAAAACTAGCCAGTGTAGCACTCTGGACCATAAAATGGCCCCAAGATTTTCACTTTACTTGTCTGTTGTGGAAGTATTAATTTCAGAGACACAAAAGCACACTGTGCTCCAAAATGAAATTTTCTATGGAGACAGATAGAGCAGACTTGTGGCAACTTTATTGTGTTGATTTACTAAAGGAGTAGAGGATTTACTAAAGGAGTGTGTGTGTGTGTCACAAGGTGTCTGGCTTAGGAGAATAAAAAGTATACATCCAGTCCTGGCATGTATACCTGGGACACCAGATAGAAGACTGGGTACATAGGTCCAGAGGTTAGACATGTGCATGCCAGACAATTTTAATTTCTAAAGTGACAGCTGGATAGTTCTCATTTCCTCAGTTACCATGAAAAGCACCTTAGGAGGCCTGAAAGGAAGGATGTTAGATATGCAAAGCAAAATCTATTTTGGCTGGAAGTTATTGCTCTAGCCCACCTTTTCTCATATATGACTATTGGTCAAATATGCTATCCATTACATTTAGCAAATAGCAAGGTACAGGACGGTGAATGAGGCAAATCACATCTTTCCTTTTTGAAACTGGAATTTGCATAGCACAGTGCCCTAAGTTTCAAGGTTTCCAGGAAACAATTGGTGAAGACTGAAACCCAAATACTGAAAGAAAACTCAATACCCTTTAAACTTTTTTTCTGGGATTTTATAGGCAAACTCATCATCAGATCATGTGGTTTGTAATGGCTAGTGTCTTCCTAACACAAAAAATTATATAGATGCAGATATAACATTTAGTTCTATGCCAAGGACTATTCTTAGCACTTTGTGTTTTTGCTTCTGGTTCTCCTTGAAAATATAAAACTTCATAATAAACTACAATTTCCGCTGTATCAGTAAGTTTACAGCTTCTGGCGTTTCCATTTCCACTGTGCTTATGTATTATTGCATGCCGAGCATACAATAGTCGCTGTTACATGTTGCTTTGGTTAGGGCATATTTGTAGAAGCTGTGACAGATTGTGGTACTAAAATTCCAGTGTGCATTGATTGCCTGTGTGCGATCACATGCCTGAAGCTCCTGCTACTTTTTAGCACATTGGACTAATTGCTGGTAAAACTAACTACAATATCTCAATTAAATCCCATACAGCAGGCACTGATATTGTTAATAGTGTGGATAATAATAAAAATGGCAATAATTATATTTTGTTTTCTTATGCTATGATTGCTAATAGTTATACATTTCCTGGCAGTAGCTGTGTTGGGTTATTAGAAAAGACTATAAATAGCGATAAGCAAATCCATCTACAAAGTTTGATGGGAAAGTTTGCAGATATTTTCACATCCACTGCTGATCAACTAATAAATGACCTTTGTTTCACTGCCAGAATTTTTAACTCTACAAAACTTAAGCATGGGTAAGGAATATTACAATTGATTTGAATTGAAATAAAGAAAAACACAAACAGCATATCAAACATTGATTGGAAAGGGTTCAAAGAGTACTCCAAAGCATGTTCAGTCCTCATCTGCCCCTTTTCATTCAATGACCCCAGCAACACCCCCTCCCCTCATTTGTACTGTGGAGGTCCCTTCCAAACAGTGACTGACTCTCACTGAGAATGAGTGTAGAAATTCACCAATGGAATCCTGAGGAATTCCCACTAAAAATAGATAATAGGTTCATTTAAAAGTAATGATTTGAATTACATTGTGCCCAGTGTATTTTTTTAACCTGATGAATAGAGATGAGCGAATCGAACCTGGCGAAGTGGAATTCGTTTCGAATATTAGGAAAAATTCGATTCGCGTCGAATCCGAATATTAGCAAACTTCGGATGCGCGAATCGAATTTTCCCCGATCGGCCCGATTTTCATCCCTTCTACAGCCGGCAAAAAGTGTCCCTGCAGAGAGCTCCGCTATTTCTGACAGTTCTCTGACAGTTCCTTCACATTTACAGCAGTTGAAACATTGTATCTATTTGTTTCCATTTAGGATACAGATGTTTTTATTCGGAAACAAATAGATACAATGTTTCAACCGCTGTAAATGTGAAGGAACTGTCAGAGAACTGTCAGAAATAGCGGAGCTCTCTGCAGATACACTTTTTGCTGCACTGGAATTCTTCTTCATCCTCATCCTACTCTTCTTCTTCTTCTTCTCATCCTCATCCTATCCATTCTTCTTCTTCTTCTTCTTCTCTCTTCTTCTTCTTCTTCTTCTTCATCCTCATCCTTCTTCTTCTTCTTCATCCTCATCCTCTTCTTCTCTTCATCCTCCTCCTTACTTCTTTCTTCTTCTTCTTCATCCTCATCCTACTTCTTCTTCTTCTTCATCCTCATCCTACTTCTTCTTCTTCTTCA